AATTCAAGAGTCCTTTTGCAATTAGACTTCTTGTATCATGACATCTTAGCATAGAAATGAGCAAAAAGTAACAAATTTCAATTTCTTATAGCCTCTGTGTGCATTTTTATATGTAAATATGGGCTACGGCCTAAATCGACTCTAAATAATTCTCAGTCTTACATGGCCTAAGACCATTTTATACTCATGTGGTATGCTTTTTGTAACTTTTCTTTACATATAAAGTACATTTAATATATATGGAAGAATAATGTATGGTTAAAAAACTTCAAAAACTTCAAATTGGTTGAAAAAATGCATGTTTATGTAAGGCTTCCCTTAATTCGAAAATCTCTATTTTCAGGCCCAGGCTCATATAAATTTGACTTTTGAATAACTGAAATAAATCTGATAAATCAAATGAGTGTTCCGTTGCTTTTAAGACTTATTATATTAAATTCAAGAGTATTTAAAAAGCAAATTTTTGCAATATTTAAATTTTTTAGGCCAAAATCTTGACAGTTGAAAATATTTGATTTAAACGTCAAAAATAAACATCCAAATTTCAATATTAAAATGGCCCTAGTTTCTATAATATATATCCTATGGCCATGAAACTTGGCCAACTATCCTATAATTGCCTAAGCTTAGGTCATGCAAAGTTTTATTAAAATTGGTCAAGTCTTTCTATCCTATTAGGTCCAAGGACACAGTTATCGTCCTTTGGTTTTCGTTGTCTACGAATATAGTCCCTAGTGTGAACAGTGTATAACTTGCATTTTTTTTTGATACACTTTCCCAATTTATTTCTTGATATTTTATGCATGAAATATTAAGTAAGGGGATGAAATTACATGTTAAAAAAATTTGGGTGCTGAATCTTTATGTTAAGTAGTGATTTGGTCCAGTTAAAAAAGGTCAAAAATTAGAATGTCTGAAGCTGTCAAACTGAATTTTAGCCCCCCTTAACACAGAATTGTCAATATTTTGAGTTAGAGCTGGTAGAAGTTTCTATAATTTTGATATTATTTGTATCAATAGTAGTACACTACACTGTAAAAATATTTTTGAGATAGAGCAGGTGCGATTTTTTTAATTTGAATTTACTGTCTAAAAGAAATGCACTACGAAATAACTGTGTTCTCGGGCCTAAGAGATGAATTCCGTAAATGTAGATTCTGTACTTTGGCAACTTTCCTGAATGGTTTGCTGGTTTCAATTTGTCAACGGCTTATACGGCTAAAATAAGCATTTTAAAGCAGTTTCCATTTTATGCCTAAGAGCCATGCTGACTTTCTATCTGACAGCTTTTTATGTTCCTGATATTTGTGTTACTATGCTTAAATCAAATTTAATTAACCATTTGTGAACTCGGAATCTAGAGAAAAGTAGATTATCACAGAAAAAATGTGCAGAATATTTGTATTTATGTCCCTGGTTAAACGGCCTGTTTGATGTATGTGAAATGTGAAGAGCTTTGTACATAAAATCTGTAGTCCATCACAAATATTTCACTAAATCTGTAAAAAAAACCACTTTACAATGATCAGTACACCCTATTCATTTCATATGCTACCATAGTTTTCTTCTTTAGGATAGTAAGTGGTTCAAATATATGCCAAATGAGACTAAAACTACATGCAAGTTTTCCATTGAAAAGTGAAAAACTGGTCATCAAACCATACTGTCTGCAAAAAAAAGTTGAATTCAAGAGTCCTTTTGCAATTAGACTTCTTGTATCATGACATCTTAGCATAGAAATGAGCAAAAAGTAACAAATTTCAATTTCTTATAGCCTCTGTGTGCATTTTTATATGTAAATATGGGCTACGGCCTAAATCGACTCTAAATAATTCTCAGTCTTACATGGCCTAAGACCATTTTATACTCATGTGGTATGCTTTTTGTAACTTTTCTTTACATATAAAGTACATTTAATATATATGGAAGAATAATGTATGGTTAAAAAACTTCAAAAACTTCAAATTGGTTGAAAAAATGCATGTTTATGTAAGGCTTCCCTTAATTCGAAAATCTCTATTTTCAGGCCCAGGCTCATATAAATTTGACTTTTGAATAACTGAAATAAATCTGATAAATCAAATGAGTGTTCCGTTGCTTTTAAGACTTATTATATTAAATTCAAGAGTATTTAAAAAGCAAATTTTTGCAATATTTAAATTTTTTAGGCCAAAATCTTGACAGTTGAAAATATTTGATTTAAACGTCAAAAATAAACATCCAAATTTCAATATTAAAATGGCCCTAGTTTCTATAATATATATCCTATGGCCATGAAACTTGGCCAACTATCCTATAATTGCCTAAGCTTAGGTCATGCAAAGTTTTATTAAAATTGGTCAAGTCTTTCTATCCTATTAGGTCCAAGGACACAGTTATCGTCCTTTGGTTTTCGTTGTCTACGAATATAGTCCCTAGTGTGAACAGTGTATAACTTGCATTTTTTTTTGATACACTTTCCCAATTTATTTCTTGATATTTTATGCATGAAATATTAAGTAAGGGGATGAAATTACATGTTAAAAAAATTTGGGTGCTGAATCTTTATGTTAAGTAGTGATTTGGTCCAGTTAAAAAAGGTCAAAAATTAGAATGTCTGAAGCTGTCAAACTGAATTTTAGCCCCCCTTAACACAGCATTGTCAATATTTTGAGTTAGAGCTGGTAGAAGTTTCTATAATTTTGATATTATTTGTATCAATAGTAGTACACTACACTGTAAAAATCTTTTTGAGATAGAGCAGGTGCGATTTTTTTAATTTGAATTTACTGTCTAAAAGAAATGCACTACGAAATAACTGTGTTCTCGGGCCAATTGGTTGTTTTGTTTAAAATTATGGACAAAATTGCTCTTTCAAAATTTCCATTTGGAAGCTTTCATGGGGGAAATCCCCCGCAAATAGTGACAGTTGGCAGGTGTCTTAGCATTTTTTTTTATATTAAATTGTCATGTATTATTCACTTAAATAAATAGTATACTCGGTCAATATCATTTCCAGAATTAACCATCGAAACAGATTTCAAATAAATATTTATATACATTTTATATATCATGTATACGTACAGCACAAACGTAATAAGGTTATTTTAATAGTTTACATGGTTAAACACTGTTCTTTGAAAAGTTGGAACAAATTGACCAAGTAACTTGTCACGAATTGGTTGGAACGAATCGGAGTTGGAACGAATCATCCATATACCGCTTCGTGTGTACAGATGTATGTTTTAATGGTGTTAAGTCTCTATTTCTCATAATTGGTATTCAACCAAAGAGAACTTCAAAAGCCCAGAAATGACTAATGTAAAAATGTAAAACAATTCAAACGAAAAAAAAACTAACGGCCTGATTTATGTACACATCAACAAACAAAAAACATATATGCCGATATTCGGCAACAAACGACATCCCTTGAATTACAGCCTCCTAGCTTGGGACTTGCACATACAAACCGGACTTTCTGTCTGTCAGAGTCTGCAATATGTTTTCGACTCCAATCTTAATTGACAAGGTCTGCCAGTTTTTTGGGTTTTTTTTTTGCGTGAACCCCTTGGGGTTCACGCTTTATATATTGGTGAGTTTTGGAAGTGTCTTGTCTTGCCTCCGTAAGAGCCCCCTTTTATTAGGAGCTCCACCATGAGTTATGGCGTATAAAGGAGGACATTTGGAGTCTGTATCGGTACAGATTAATGCGAGCATTTGCCTACCCAGTTCCCCAGCCAAGCCGTGACGGGTCTTACTACCAGAAAGTTAACCTTCCCCAAACATAATGCAATGCAATAAAATAAAACATACTAACTCGCACACTCACCTGATTCGCTCAGTCCTCAAAGTATAAAAAAGTCCAAAACTATTACATAAAATGGAAAAAGGTCACCCCGGATACCCCACAAATGCCTTGGCAAAATACGTCTAAGGCAATACGAGGAACCGGTTAGGACAAAATACATATCCAAACCGACACTACCAAATGCCTTCAAAGTTATCATATACATTCTTAAAATTGTCTCAACTAGACTAAGGTATAAGGTATTCAGAAAATAAAAACAAATCTTACATTTAACAAGTTACCATGGCAACAAACCATCCTGAAATTTATATATTTTGTAAAATTTCTTGATTTTCCTTGTTTTATGTCAATTTTTAAGTATATTTTAGATAGGAAAAGTATGTGCACACCCAAGAAACAACTTTATTTTTGGTGAGATTATGTCAATAGTGTTTATAAAGATTCTCTAAAATAATTTTGTTGTTTCTTGGCTGCGCACCATGTTTCCACAATGGAAATAATGATGGATATCTGCATAAATTCTGTATTTTTCATTGTCTTCATGATAACGGTACATATGTTGACTTAATTGTAACGTCATCAGATAAAACATCTTATGTTTTCAATTTATTTTTCTTGACTCCATGCATTTCCAAACATTATGTGCCAATTTGGAATAGTTGTCAAACGTTTTATTTTCTAAGGCCAAAACTGGACCTTAATGCCCCTATTCCTTTGTTTTAAAGTCGAAATTTGATTACTTCTTATCAGAGATTGCTAATATGGAATGCTTGTATATTTATTCATAGTTGTACAAGTTGTTACTGAGATTCAACGTATGCTGAAAAAGTCCTGCTTTTGACAAATGAAACTTCAACTGTAAAATATAGTTTATTGAAATTACTTTCCTCAGTGTATATTTGAAAGAGCTAAAACATTAATCTCATTTAATTTGCTCTGAAACTACATGAAACTTTCATCAATGTGGACATAAAACTAAGACTTTAAAACAGAAGCCAACACATGTTTTTTCTTTCTTTTGCAAAATTTCATCTCCGATTTTGTGCATATTACAAAAAAAACTAACACATTTTCATAAATGGTAAAACTACAATTTATTATTATTATTAAAGTTAAGCAAATTATATACAGATATTTGAAAGATTAACATACAGTGTGCATTTAGGTGATTAACTTGACAGAAAAGAAAACACAACAAAGTTAAAAACTGAGAGACAAAAGCTAAACTGAGGAAAAGACAAAAATGTCTTTGTTTTTTTTTTTTACTAATGGATTTTGAATGAGCCGTAGTGTGTGTGCTCTCTTCTTTGTCTAATAAGGTTTCAAAAAGGTTATTCAATGGACACGTGTTTTACACGTTAAGTTTAAATCATACGTTGATAAAATAGAAACATAGATCAGATAATCATTTACACATCATGTTTTCATATTGTTTATCTACTGTAGGCATTCGTTCAATCTGGTCATAAACATTTTGAGTATCTTTTGTTCCAAGTTCTAGTTTAGCAGATACATTGTCCATTCCAACTTCTTCGTATTGGCCTCCACTGCAAAATATATTAATCAGTTTTGAAATATATTGGCTGAGCAATGTACTCTGTACATGGATCATTATTTAATTCTAACCCGTTTTTATTTCTTACTGGAGTAAATAACGTTGCTGTGGTCATCTTGCAACTTTCAAATTTTGTTCATTCAAAATACAAAGAATTGTTTACCAAATGCATTGATTGGGTCAGCCATAATTGGTAAACTTTAACATTGTTATATGTCTAATTCTTGCACTACTGATTTATGTATACAAAACGTACGTATGATATATAAAATAGCAAGGCTGGTATCGCTAATGAGTTAATTCGTCACATTAATGTTTTAGAGATATGAAAAAAAGAGAGAAAATAAAACAAAAGGAGTTACTAATTGTACAATCTTTAGTATTTCATCTTACAATAGTATTTAAACATTTGACTTTTCTACACTTTACACAAATATTCCTCATTCCAAACTGACAGAAAAATTGAAAAAGTTGGTCCTTCTTTGTTTTCGAAAAAAAGAATGGCCAACGTTGATACAAGTATCTTGTCTCAGGAAGGGATAAATCCCACTTTGGAAAAAATCACTCTGTTTCAAACAACAAATTTTCTGAAACTGACATTATCATTACTTTGACCTATAATGGTTTACTTTTATAAATTTTGACTTGGATAGAGAGTTGTCTCATTGGCACTCATACCACATCTTCCTATATCTATTATCAAGATGCTTGATTTTTTTATTGATAGCATATTGTTACGTTTGGAGGACGTGTTTTTCAACAAACAATCGGCATTCCCATGGGAACAAACTGTGTCCACCTTCTTACCGACTTGTTCCTTTATTCATATAAGGCTGACTTCATACAGGAGAACTTCTTAGGAAGAAAGTAACGAAGTTAACAGTATCCTTTAACTTTACTTTTCGCTATAAAGATGATGTTCTCTCACTAAATAATTCAAAATTTGGTGACTATGTTGAACGCACCTATCCCATCAACTAAAGATAAAGGATACAACAGATACAGTTAAATCTGCCTCATATCTTGACTTACATCTACAAATTGACAATGAGGGTCAGTTGAAAACAAAACTATACGACAAAAGAGATGATTTTAGCTTCCCAATTTTGAACTTTCCATTTCTATGTAGCAACATTCCAGCAGCGCCTGCATACGGAGTACATATCTCCCAGTTGATACGATATTCCAGGGCTTATAATTCCTATCATGATTTCCTTGATAGCAGATTGCTTCTCACAAGGAAGCTATTAAACCAAGAGTTTCAAGTTGTGAAGTTGAATTCATCCCTTCGTAAGTTATACGGACGCCATCACAAGTTGGTTGACCGTATCACAGATGATAACGGGTATGTTACTTATGTAGTAACTACAATCCTGTACCCTTTTCCAGATTGTGACCTACCGAATTAAACTTATTACCGGGTTTGTAATAACATGAGCAACACGACAGGTGCCACATGTGGAGCAGGATCTGCTTACCCTTCCTGAGCACCTGAGATCAACCCCAGTTTATGGTAGGGTTCGTATTGCTCAGTCTTTAGTTTCTATGTTGTTTTTTGTGTACTATTGTTTGTCAATTGGTCTTCTCTCTTTTAGCCATGGCGTTGTCTGTTTATTTTTGACATATGAGTTTGAATGTCCCTCTGGTATCATTCGTCCCATTTTTAGACCAATCCGGAAAAATGGTGTTGGCAGGAAATTGTTGAAACTTGTTTTTTGCTGGAGATCGTATTACTCAATCTTTTGTTTCTTTGAAGTGTTTTGTGAACTGCTGTTTATTGATTTTTATATTTGACCAAGGAGTTGTCTGTTTATACCCGACTTACAATTGATAAGTGGCTTCTTTTTTTTTGTCTTTATTAATTTCCATCGTAAATAATACCATAAGTAGTTGTAACTCTACTAGATGTTAAACGAGAATGTCTGTCCTTTAAATCTGCATAAGTGCATATTATTATAATAGGCCATTATTGTTTTGAAAGTTTATTTTTTATATATTTATTAAACCTGTTTAAGTATGCATATACTAGGTACAAGTTAGGTGTATAAATTCTACATACATATTTGACTCTTCTTGGATATGCTGTGTTTCTACAAAAACAATAATATCAACTCAATTTAGAAGAATCACATCTACACTATATAAGACCGTTAAATATTTCTAATTTTAGTTAAAGTATTAACACTGGTTAAGACAAGGATTCCTTCACTAAGATAAACAAAAATCCACGCACTACAAAAGATTGAAAAGAAAAAAAACAGCTTAACCAGGTAACATTCATGCATTACAAGGTCCTTTACCGGTTAGACATTGCAGGAGTTTTACTTATATCAAATGGGACAAGTATTCTTTTGTGAGGAATGTTTAATAAGATTACAATTCAAATTGATAAAAAATGTTGCCGATTAATTTGTGGATTTTCGCGGTCTGTTAGGCAAGAATATCTTTGTGGAAATGCGAATATTTCAACAACTTTTAATAATTAATATATTTATTCTAATTATTGACAATACAGTTATTGACAATACAGAAAACGCTTGTAGATAGTCTACAACAATTTCTTATGTCACATTACAAAAAGAAAATGCTCAAACGGAACGGAACTTGATATGTAACTTACTGTAACAAAAAATAGTAAAGAAACTTAGATATAACAGGCTGACGGACGGAGTTAATGCCTTGAGTTCATCTGGGTCTCGTCACATGGGGATTAGGAATCAACATTTTAAGACGTTGCATATTATACTATGATTTTTTTGTGGCTATGTATATACGTCCTAATTTTTATCCTAGTTTTTTTTTTGCACGTGTTTTGTCACAATTATTTCGATTCTTTGCCATATGTTTTAAACAATTGGTATCCCTTTATTTATACGTTTTGATTCAAAACTGCTAATGTCAAAAACTCCAAAAAACATACATATATTCTCATAAAACAAATATAAATGATTCGATTATCATTTTCTACAGAAAGTTCTTATGACTATTATATTACAAACATATACTAGTATACAGTGTTACAATGCAGCAGCAACCACGAAAACTAACCTGCTTGTTTGGAATTCATATTTCGTCTGCGCTTCCGGATTAGGCAAAATACAAGGCCAACGACAATACCACTAAATACAACACAACCAACTGCAGCTCCTACTACTGTTTCTATTGTATATCCTTTAAGTAATAATTCTGATTGTGCTAAAAATTAAACAAATGTTCATTGATGCGTTGAAAATATTCTTGAAATATTTATGCATGCATCAAATTATAGAATCATATCACGAACCACTAGTAATGTGCAGAAATTTTATGAATTAGAACCAGATGGTGCTTCAATCAAGATACTAAATGATAAAAAAGTGGTTATGAAACACAAAACCAGGTTCAACCCACCATTGTTTTCTTAGAATGTCCTGTACCAAGTCAGGAAAATGGCCATTGTTATATTATTGTTCGTTTCTGGGTGTGTTGCATTTTAATGTTGTGTTTTTGTTGTGTCGTTGTTCTCCTCTTATATTTGATGCGTTCCCTCAGTTCTAGTTTGTAACCCGGATTTGTTTTTATCTCTATCGATTTATGAGTTTCGAACAGCGGTATACTACTGTTGCCTTTATTTATGACACCTCTATATATATGTCATAGACAATTTTGAAACTATTCAAAAAAGATAATAATTGATACGATAAGGTAAATCTGCAAAGCAAGACTGTTTCTTACTAAAAAAACGTATATAAAAATATAAATAGATATACTAAAAAACCTCATACATACAGTTTCTACTGTTTCGTCAAAAACAACAACCAAGTACAATTCAAATGATACTAAAAAAAAAATGTTTCTGCCGAGGTGGCATGCCAAATAAACATTGAATATATTCATATTCCAGAATACTATGTTAAATATCCCAATGCAGCAGAAATGAAAGGATTACTATCATTTGTTAATATAAAGGAATTACAAAATGTACCTTTATTCGTTTTAAAGTTAATGAAAATATTATTAAGTATAGGTAAAATAAATATATTCCATTTCAAAGTTGTTTTGTTTCCTTCTATGATCGTATGTTATTGTATTTTGTATGACTTAAGTTCACCTTATAACTTACAACTAAGGTTATATATTCTCCGAGTAAAAAATAATTTTGCGAACAATTCAAAGTAATGTAAGACATCTGAAAATAACATCACAGGTACATTCACATTACAATAAACTTACATTCAAGTTTTGATGACGCGTAATATATCGTCAGCTGTTTTTCTCCTTCTTGGTTAAGTGAATTTACAGCATATATCTTGAAAAGAGAAGTTTTCAAAAAGAAAGTGATGTCAACATATACAAAAAATTATCTGTGAAAATAAAAGACCAGTGTCCTTGAGAAGCTGAAAAAAACCATGCAAATGAGAGGACAATACTATATCTTCATTTGTTGGCTTTACTCTCCTTTTGAGATATGTAGTTGAAATCTGATTTGTGGTTCCTTTATTGTTTTTCGAGATAAACTGCCTTCCAATCAATATAAAAAACATGATATGGTATAATTACCAATGGTATGACTCTCCAATAGCAACCAAATGACACACCAATTAACAACTATAGGTAACTGTACGTCATTCAACAATGAGCAAAGCCCATACCACATAGTCAGCTATAAAAGGCTACGAAATGACTAATGTAAAACGAGTCACACGAGAAAACTAACGGTCTAATTTGTGTACAAAATAATACATGAAAAACAAATATGTAACACAACAACAAACGATAACCACTTTATTAAGGCTCCTAGCTTGGGATAGACACATACAAAATGTGTCTGAGTTATACTTGTGTGAGTGCGCCAACCCGCTCCTAATATGGACGAGTTGTGTAAGCGTAAAACATAAGAACAAACTATCACAATCAATTGAAAAAGGCTCATTTCATCAGATGGATACAAATATAAATCCATTTAACGAAAACACAGAGTGGACGTGGACGGGTAACACATATGAATATTATCGGGTTCAGTTGGTTCGTTTGAATTGTTCAATCTTTTACTATTGGAATTGGTTTGTCAATAATTTGCGTTTGGTATGTTTTAACAACGTTGGTAGATGTCATTTGACTATAAGTGTGATTGAATAATACTCACCTCAACCTGATAATGTCTACCTGGTGTAATGTAATACAATTTTTGGAAAACATCGGAATCTGCAACAATAACTTCCTTTTGTGTTGTCTGGATAAAAATTGAATAGTGTATCAAACTATTTATAAATCAATGTGATATCAGTGACATAAGTGTGAACAATATTTTCATGAAAGACTTTTTGTGCGTATCTTTAAAATAAGTACGTTGATTTTCTATAGATATGCTTCCCTTATTTGGTATTTAGGGACATATGATGAATAAAGCGCCATTTATTAACTAGTTTGCAAATGAATTAAAAATGAATTTTATTAAAATTGAACAGGATTTAAGGTTGACCTTTGTGCAGTTTTGGAAGTAGTGTTGAGAAATATTTGCACATTGAAGAATGAAAACAAAACGTTATACATTTCATGCGTCATAAATAAACTCAAATAAAATTACGAATTGAAATGAGGAATATGCCAAAAAAGACAACAACCCGATCAAAGGGCGGACAACAGCCGACGGCCACCAATGAGTTTTTCACGCAGCGAGAATGTCCCGCACCCGGAGGTGGTCCTCAGCTAGCCCTCAAATAAAACTGTGTACTAGTTCAGTGAGAATAGACGTCACACTAAACTCCAAAACATATAAATGAACTAAAATTGAATAACATACAAGACTAAATATAACAAAGGCCAGAAGCGCCTGACTTGAGACAGGCGCAAACATGCGGTGGGGTAAAATCAAAGAATATCTACAGCAAAGGGTGTGTAAGTTAAAGCAACAGTAGTATACTGCTGTTCAATAGTAATAAATCAATTAAGCAACCGGGTTACAAACAAAAAACTGATAAGAAACATATTCTATAAGAGTAAAACAACTGAGCAACAAAAGAACCGAAACAGTTGATGTTCCCAAAATAATTTCAGGATCATGTATTTGGCTTTCTTTCGCTTATGTTATCAAGCGTGTATGCTAAAGATCATTCTAGAATTATAAATTAGGTTAAACATATTTTATTTGCTGAAATAATGCGAAATGGATTAGACATAAGTAAATCATACTTATGAAGTCTTCTCCATTAAATTATAAATTTTTTACCAATTAAAATAGTTTGGTAAATTCTGACTATTGTTCATAAAACATTTACATATGCACATCTTTAAAGTCGTGCGAATTGTAATCCTAAGTTGCATTGCAGCATATTCATCGTTTAGGCGATAAGCATAATTGAGGTACTGAGTTTCATCACAGCATTTTTTTTTACTTTCACTTTATACAGTGAAGATAAATATACTTATATACCTATATGGAGTTATTTTCTTTCAGAACGATAGGTCATTCTTTCGAAGAATCAACCCGGACGATACCATGTTTCAATGAAATATGCTCCAAGGCATAAAATAATGACCTGTGTGAGGTCATTATTTTCGTTGATAAAAATGCAAACTATAATTTACTTCAAAATTATAATCCTCTTATAGTTTTTTGTTGCCGATTGGGGAATTTATTTTTTAAAGTTCAATCTATGATAGGTGTAACAAAATCGTCATTGCCCGCAGTTTAATAATAGAAACAAATAATGTGAACTTTTGTTAATTTATCGCTACAATACAAAGACAATATCATATATGTGAGATGAATTTGAATGTAAAACTTTCATAACACTTTAAAATAAAACCAGATTTAACATATTCATGTGTAAAATTTTGAAAATCTTATTGATTCCCACTGAATAGGTTGATTGATTGATGGTTGCTTAACGTCCAGTGGCAAATATGGCATGCGTGTTCAGGACAATACACACTGAATAGGAAATCATACTGTGACCTACATGTATTTATATTCGTTTTCGTGTAACATGTACATGTATCACGATTTCGTGCCCCGTTCATGTCACTTCTGAACTTTTTTACATTTATGTATACCTTTTACTCTATCAAATGATCAACTAATAGAATATTCTTACATTTATGTACCTCACAATGGGGTTGGGTTTGGGAGGGTATATAATTATATCCTGATTATCTGTTAAAAAAATGTATTGCTATTCAAAAGAAAATCATTCTGAATATTTCATTCGATTCAATTAGAATTGTTGAAAAAATAAAAACTTTTCCGCGATAGAAATGTCATTACAAATAGAAAAAAAAAACCAACAACATAACACCCCCCCCCCCCCCCCCCCTCCCCACCTTTACCATAAACTAAGTTGGTACAATAAATTACTTACAAAGTGTCTTGTTATTTTCATACACCGTTATCAGATGGTAACCATTCATTTGTGTCTTACTTCATGCAGTTACAGTAATATTTTTATTGTGTATGGATAATAATTTCTAAGGTTTATATCTAGATTAATTAGTGAGTTGTATTTCACATTCTAAATGAGCCGTAGGGCGTATTAAAACCTGAACGCATTAGAAAGGAATATCCCACTTTAGTGTGGTCGGTAAAATAGAATGCTAAATTTTGCAAATCTTTATTAAAAACAATATTTTTTGACGGTATATAAGTCAGATAATGCATATTTTAAGGTTTTTCTTGTCGTAGAACACACCTCGGGGTGTCATGATTGCCCAAAGAAAGACCTCCCTACGGTCGGTCTTTCATTTGATCAATTCTGACACCCCTCGGTGTGTTCTACGACAAGAAAAACCTTATAATATGCATTATCTATAACATATTTTTTTTGTTTCGACAACATGTAACGAATAACAGGTCGACGGTTTTATATGGTGTATATGAATGTTCTTGCAATTATTTGTACTGTATTCCTGTCATGTAATGTTATCATTTTACCAGTATATTTAACATTGCAATAAAAGTGCGATGTTTAGCTAGAAACAAAACCAGCTTCAACCAACCATATTTATCTTATAATGTCCTGTACCAAGTTAGGAAAATGGCAGTTGTTATTTTATAGTTCGTTTCTGTGTGTGTTGCATTGTTATTTGGTTTTTGTTGCACATCAGTGTCTCTGTTGTTTCGTTTTTGTCCTCTCATAGTTGATATGTTTCTCCTGGTTTTAGTTTGTAACCCGGATTTATTTTCCCTCAATCGATTTATGACTTTTGAACAGCAGTATACTACTGTTGCCTTTATTTATACACCAGCATGCTAGTACTTACGTGAGACATTTTCTAATAACTTTTTATTCTATACACGATATAGTTGTAGCGAAAGCTCCGACATGTAAAACTGACCATTGGATTATATTTATGTGTACTTGATGTATGACGGTAATAACTACATCATAAATGTGACTTTTCAAACATTTGATTTGTATATAACGCACATACTGTTCTCATATCTTCATTTATAGTAAAATCATTCGGAACATTTTGCTGATAGAATTTCATTATTAGAACTTAAAAATATAATATGTAAAAAATATATGACACTAACCCCACTAATGTTATGGCTTATTTTATACTCCTTAATGATACCATTTCTTTCTCTAAATAAAGGTATACTCTAGGAAACTTCCATTGTCGTTAGTATCACAGTCGGTCTTTTGATTTCAAAATTCGTTACTTTGCCAGGAGCTGTAAAATTGCATTTTGTTACATTGCAACTACACTGACAAATCGTCTGTATACTCACATTGATAATAATGCTTGCTCAGACAGTACTTTGTTAAGCAATGCAGGAACACAAATTAATTTGTTTCGTATGTTGAATAAATGTTCATACAAATCTTACGATAACTAATCGGGAGGATTGAGATTTCACAAAACATGTTTAACCTCGCCGCAAATTTATGGCTGTCCCAAGTAAGTATCACCCTGGCCTTTGTTAGACTTGTATGTTTTTGTTGTTTTATTTTAATTTGTGGTTCTTTTATATTTATAGGAGTTTAGTGTGACGTTCTTTTTATCGCATCCGCCGTTTCCATTCTCAATGTTCACCAGAAATAGAGAAAAATTACAAATCAGACGCTTTATTCTGTTAAACACGTCATTTTCGACGGGAAATATCGAAATACATTTTACTGTGCTAATTTGAAAAATACATCTTATGTAAGATAAGTGTGTTCAGTTTCATTATAATGTTATGATAAGAATAACCCAATCAAAGTAGTCAACAGATAAAGTCAAAATATTGCCAATTTTTGGACATCAAAATGTCATATGATCGTTTTACTCCATCTACCTCGTAAAAGCACTACACCAATCCGAATATTTCTGATCGGATCCCTCTAATATTGTTGGCTTTTGTTTGAATTTATGTTTTTTATTTGATTAAATATCTAGTTGTGTTGCATGTCTGTAATGTATCTTTACATATGGCTGCTGGATCACACTTATTATCACCATAACCAATTAACTTTTGAGTTGCTCGTTCAATGTTGCCAATACTGTATAACGGATCTATAAACAACTTCAATACCCGTGAGAGGTTCATCTAGCATTATAACTATGTTTAACCCACCATATCGATGATGCCAGTTGTTTTTTATCACTAGTTCAGTTGGTTAACAACGATTTATTTTGTCGCTTAGTGAATTTACCTTGAAGTTCGATATGTGAGTCATGAGTATTTCATTTTAACCTTTTTTTTCTTTACAACAATGAACAAGGAACCAATCTTTATACATATTCACAAATAAAGAAATACAAAGAAAACACTAAAATAGTTTACTCAAATGTGCTAAGTCTATACAATAAAAACGAAAACTTCGACAAATGCGGTATGTCGACAAATGATTTTTTTTAATTAAATTCAACAGAAATATAAACTTTAAAATATTCAGAAATTTGGCTACTTAATCCTTAGTTCCACTATTTTCATTATGGAATGACGTGACTATTTATCACAATATGTTTTCTTTATATAACTGGCATCTTGTATGTAATAAGCAAACATAGGTAGTAAAGATGATGCAGTTATAGTAAGATTACAGTATATAAGAAACGAATGAAGGTTTCAGTGCATTACGTAAGCAATCATTTCAGGACGAAGACGGCCGGATGCAAAATAAGTTTTATTTTTAGTAGCCGTTGAAGATATCTTCCCAAAATAGAAATAACACACACCTACTAAAGGAGAAGGTTCACGAAAAAAGGGCCAACAAATTACAAATTTCATATAGAAATACTTGTGATAATACTATTAAGACTAAAATAACCTTTTTTGCACCTTCCTATATAATTTTTGAAGCTTTGACCGTATTATTTGTATTTTAGGTCAATTTTGGTAAAAATGTTCTTTAATTTTAATCGTGTTTGGCATAATTAGCTTTGGCCGCCATCCACGATCCAAAACGTATTTATATCGATGAATTATAATATCAAAATTGGAAACTTCTGGTTACAAAACATTTTGGATCGTAGTTCGGCCACGGTTTTCCTCAAGCTTTTATGTCTGAAAATTGCACAAAATCATCATATTTTGACAAAATGTCCAAAATGGGCCTAATTTGGAGAATAGTATGTACTTTTATGAAAAGAACTGATTTATTCAGTATTAAGTCTTTTGAAATAGACCCATTTACGAACCAAATTGTGAACTTTTTGGAGTTTTATGATAAAGTTGATATTTTAGGCCGTTTTGGGCCATAAGTGAAACACACTATATTTACTATCTTGCTTTGTTGTTACAAAAGTTGACATTTCAGACTGTTCACTATTGCCTTTGTCTGTGGCAGCAACTACTGAAAACGTATAGTTCCAATATGCCTCTAATCCAAACAAATGTGCTGTCTTCGTATGAAAACCTACAAATAGCAAATGTAAAATCAAGCGATGGCTTATACATATTAACTGAAGGCAACAGTAGTATACTGCTTTTCAAAAGTCATACATCAATTGAGAGAAAACAAATCCGGGTTAGAAACACAGAGGGAAACATATAAACTATGAGAGGAAAACAACGAAACAACAATATCTGGTCAAAAGTTGCATTCGGTGACCATCATTATTATAGTTCTTCATTGTGCAAATTTGAGTTTAGACAGTTTTTTCCATGTTCTGTTTATGCCTTACCTTTGGTATACTCACGAGTATTGTATAATTCTTAAATGAATGATTAAGGTAATTACAGAAACAGCGACAAATGCAGCAAAATTAGTAGCATACTTTATATAGAAACACATACCAGTTACGTTTGTTATTTTCAGAAATGCAGGTTGAGCATTTAGAACAACTTCATAAGCTTCAATATAATAAGTTGTATTCCCTGGTCTTGGTAATGGCATCTTCCATGTTATTGTTATTTCACTTGAGCTCACGACAGAAGCAGCTACACCTAACGGCTTTTGTGGAACTGCAAGAAAATAAACAACAAAGAATCATTACATCAAGAAAGCAAACACATGAATTTCATGGTAGCATGACCTTTTTTAAAAAGAATTCTGGCCTACACTCATGTGGGCGGAGAAAAAAGAAATTCGAGTTCAAGTGGCTAATACTTTCACAACAATAACCATATCAATTTAGAAAGTAACGTATTTGTTCATAAAAAGCTAATTGGTATTGGGTATACGATTTCGAAAGATCGATTATATGTTCACGGTAGTTATAATGACCGACTGGGATCGTGGTTTTTCGAGTGATCCGATCAAATTGTTTTCGAGTGTGATCACGTTTTGTCGAATAATAATGTAAACACACAGACTTCCTCTCTTGTAAAATGTGAAAAAATTTGCTAAAACTTTATATACAAAGAAGGTAAATATGTATTTTTGTTAACCCTGCATTACTTTTTTCTAAGAAACGTTCTGTTTATTCTTACAATTTTTATACAATGCAAATGTCAAAGGAAATGCGTTCATGGATTTGTGGTGCTGTATACCAGTGTATGCCCAGTCTACGTTTTGTTTGGACCTCGTCATAAACCAATGACGTAGTGCGTATAATGATGCATTATTCTTTTAACATTTAACCACATGAATTAACCGTTTATTAATTGTATTGATTTCTTATACATTTGCTGCAGTTTGTGTATAAATTTTTATCACCGGAATAAACCGTGGTAAAAAGTAAAATCACAAAAATACTAAAGTCCGAAGAAAATTCAAAACGGAACGGCCCTAATCAAATGCCAAAATCAAAAGCTCAAACACATCAAATAAATTGGTAACAACTCTCATATTTCTGACTCGGTGCAGGCATTTTCTTATAGAAATAGGTTGATTGAACCTGGTTTGATAGAAAGCTAAAGCTCTCAATTGTATGACAGTTGCATCAAATTCCATTATCATGACGACGATGCGTGAACAAAACAAGCAGACATAATAGTTGAAACATGTCAAAAAGAGGGGTACAATAATCAACATTTGGTTATAATAAATGGCGAGTTATTATATATTTTTCATATATTGTACTTTTATACTCGAAGTCCACGCCATTGGCCACAGCTCAAATCTGTATACTTTGAAATTTCATCGGCTTCTGCACTGTACGTTTCACACCATTGACTTAAAATTATTGCAATTTTCAGCGGAGGTTACATTAAAATCACAAATCTTCATTAGATTTGAAAAGTTTCAGTATTTTATAAGGAAGTACTGTATATTACATTTGCTGTTTAAATTTATATTCTTGCCTAGTTTCTCGATTTAGTGGGTCGCGATTTTGAATCGCAATATGCAACATCTTGTCCAAAATTATTTTTTTCGCTTGCATTGGGTAGAAATAAAGTACTGACAGAGTGTCAACATTCACAATACAATGTCAACTGTTAAAATACAGTACGGGCAGTATGGGCGATTTTAAAACACTTATCTTCGGAAGGAAATACAGAACTGTTTAAAAGAACATATTCGCATCTCTTACAGGTATAGTTTGATAATATAACTTCCAAACATCAAAATCAAGGATGGCAAAACCTGTGATACTAACGAAGGCCACGTTTGAACAACTTAAATCCATTGAGGGTACATGCAATAAAATGGACATACATATACTTGAGGCTAATGAGTCCTCAAACTTCATAAGAATTTAATGTAGTTTTTGGTGTTACTTTTGTGCCAAAATCAACATTAAAGAAAAAAACATCTTGTAGAACCTGGTTTGCCAATCGTGTACCTAAGGATGCACTATGATATAATGAAGTTACGACAGTAATGCAAACGGCATATTTCAAATGTTACAACAGGACCACAAGTAAAAGAAACAATTTCAAAAATTGGCAAAAGGAAAGAGACGGTTCAAGACACGACTAAAATAGAGCAAACCAATTTAATTAAGTCAACCATCCAGTTTAAAAACCCGCTACCATTACTGCAGAACAAACATCCTAAACAGGATAAAAAATAGAGGAACAACCTTGTGTGTTTGATTCTAAAAAAGACACTGTAATAAAATATGAGAAATCCTACCCATAAGTTCCGTTGGACAGTGTCCCTCGGTTCCTCCTTTGCTAATTTTCTAAAATTGAGCCCGCTGAGTCAAATATGGAAGTGCAGTCAAAAGCAACCGTCTCAGACTAAGGACAGTTGGAAAGCCAGTACCATCACATATTGAGGCTGAATACTTTACTGGAGATCATTAAAAAAAATCTGTGTTTCCCAGGGTCCCAAACGACAAGGGAATTTGGCCCGATCATCATCGTATAACCCCATCTTAATTCATGATTCAATCAGACCAAACTCGCCAACATCTGGGTCTTACACTGTTCCACCATCAGAAGTCCAGTTTTATGTTGGATCAACTGTTCAGAAACTGCAAAAGATGCTAATATTCACCGGCTTATAAAATCTATCTTGGCAAGCCTTCATTTACCAGTTCGAAAGAACTGCATGTCAGCATAATGAGGGGGACAAAAAGAGAACATGTCGGATTTTAGATTGCATATTCAAGGTTGCACTAAAATATACCCGAATATTGCATATATCCAAATTTGGCAATCATAAACAATTAAAAAAAAGGAGAAACCATATGTTTAAGAAAAAACACAAAAAAACATCAGACAGATAGACTCAGAGACTATAAAGGAATTTGCAGAGCACGTTTTTGTGCTACAAAGGACATGTATTACCAAACCAATGATGAGATCATCAAACAAATTGATCCAAATAATGTCAGGAAGAGGTAGTCTGGACAGTCAGATAGGAAAATCCTAGAACTATAAATGAAGCACTTAAAAGGATAAAGTCTTCATATGTTAACATGACACCCACAGTCATATAACGGCAAGCAAAACTTTCTTATTTGAATATCTGTACTCATTCTCTACAGAGGCCCTGATCTTTGAAAAAATAGTCAGAGGATTAAACAGAAGATACTCCTAAAAGTTTGGTATTAAATACTTTGTATCTCTAGTTGACCAGTTATTAAGAGATGGAAAGAATAACCGATCATCGTCTCCCAAGTTGCATTGCAAATATTACAACCCGCCCTCAACGCCCCTCAAAGCCCTCTGATGTTTGTCTTGATTACACTACAACCTGCATTTGTCGTGCCTGTTTTAATCCCTTAAGGTGTAAAGTAGAGGCACGTCGCCATCAGGAGAAGGCCTATTTACATACCTTCTCCTAGCCTGGTTAAAATTAATTGCAGAGATTTTGGTGACGGTTCGGCCGCAAAACGGACGAACGACATAATATTCCACCGTTACCTCGCTGACATCAAATCTAACAGCCACTGCTTTGAATGAACTATTGAGAAATTCTTACTACCAAGAATAGTTTTCGGAGTATCTGGCAAGTTCATATGGGCTTATTCCGGGCTAGAAATAATTACGTTGCAAGAAATCGAGTGGTTTATTTTCTAAAACAAAAATATTTCAAACTTTGAGGTTATAGTACTCATAGACGTAGTAAACCGATTTTCAGTTCTCGTTGATGCATTAATTGTGTACAAAATCGAAAAAAAACAAGAAAATAAGAAGAACGAAACTCTTTACTCGACACAGGACTCTATATAATATATAATAAGTACCTATTCGAGGTGACAATCAAAACCATTAGTCGTAGATAAACAATCATAACCCTTACAATATGCGATGATAATGAAACATAAAAAACGAATGTTAGCATAATATAATGAGTTTCAAACGAAAAGCAAAACAAATCGCATCTTGCATATTCCTTCTAATGATAAATGTATATGTAAACCAAAATACTTTAAATGATATCAGCAAAACACTTAAGTTCAGGTTAGTTAGTTTCGGGTTCAGAAATTTCTTACGCCAAGTTATCATTTGACAAGGCGGATAAAATATATACCTTCTGAATCGGTTTGAACTGATGTTTCACTCCGGTTTCCATCACCAGCTGCATTTATCGCATTTATCCACACATCATAATATGTATAGGGTAATAACTGGTCTATAAAACTCGACATTGTTGACACTAGTTCTTTATCACTTTTATTTTCTCGTATCTGTCTTTTGGCCGATGTGCACATATGTTGTATCACCTATAAGTACAAAAGTAGCCAATGATTTGTTCGAGTAAAAGACTATTAAATAGTAATATTTCAGCATGTGTTAAATACCAATACAAGCAATGTGAATTAGTAATAAAGGTAAATGTTTTGACTATGAAATTATGAAAGCAGTTAAAGTGACCCTTTAACAAGACCCGAAAATATATAACCATACCTAACATTATCTGTTAAGGTTGACATTTGTTCATCTGCAGGAGACACACGTAAATGTCGAAAGGTCCATGATGTTTGACAATGGAATAATATATAAATAACACATAGCTGAGAGGGTGATAGAGCAGATTGTTACCCCGAGAAAAACAATGCTTTTTCGAGGGGTACCAATCTGCTCTTTCACCCTCTCAGCTGTGTGTTAATTAATTTATTATACTGAATGTCCTATCATTATTGTCTTTTACAGATGAATTTTATTTAAAAGTATTTTCTATGGCGTCACGTACATAACAACGTTACGGGTATTAGAAAAATCAACAGAAGTGAAGCAAGATGTTTTATTTCAAATAATAGAATCTGAGCCAAAACGCAGAACTTAAGCATTGTCTTTAATAACTTGATGTAAATTCAATTCATTGTCCTTTAAATTATCGATTTTTGATTGGTCTGGACGAGAGGATGACATTCAAAAAAATTGTCACCCGCTCAGCCATGTGATAGAGTTAATTAACACCCTCGTATAAGCCAATCAAATATGGCATTTTAACGTGAAGTATGATAAAATAAAATGGACGATTGTAATAACGGTGAGTTTATTTTAAGTTTCTGCATGAGTATCTTATGATTAGCGATTACAATCTATGAAACGATGGTGATTAAGAATTTGTCCTCAAATAATTTGTTGATAACTAAATACTTGCCACATTGGTACAACTGCAAACAAATAATAATTCCACCACACAATCATTATTTGATTTGACTCTTACACGGTATCCTGTTATGCTACTTTTTGATTCTTCTGGCTCACTCCATGACATTTGAATACTTCTGCTTGTCGTCCTGATAATTACACTTTTTGGAACACGGGTCACTGTAGGCAATTAAAATATAAATGTTCTGGATCATATGAACTTTTCGAACATACGTGTACTATCGAATTATAGGAATTTGTTTTTCTTGCTTTTTCCCTGATTTAAAATGATTTAAAATTTTCTTAAAATGTCCTGTACCAAGGCAAGAAAATGGCCATTGCTATATTATAGTTCGTTTCTGTGTGTGTTACATTTAAGGAATAACAGTACAGTAGTTGAAGAGTTGCCATCGTCAATTGTCGATTTGACAGTCGCAAATGCAGTTTTATTGGCGACGCGTAGCGGAGACAGTAAAACTTAAATTTGCGACCATCAAATCAAAATTGACGGTGGCAACTCTTCAACTTCAGTACTGTTATTCCGATTCTAATGCATTACAAAAAGTATAAATACGTTAGGGCTTGAAAAAAGGTATAAATTTGACATACAAAATACTTCCGCGAAACTTCATGAATAATTTTGGCGCAAAGACGTCATTGCTAAACGTGACGTCATACAAATGAAAACTTACAAACTGGAGGTTATTACGTTACCTCTACGAATTAAATTCGGATAAAATCACATCAAAACGGCGAATTCGAGGTAGGTGTTGTTTAGTTTGCGGAAATATTGTAGTAATCGAACAATTGTTGATCCAATAATTCAAAATGGCGGGTCCCTCCTAGTTACGCCTGGTCAACTGTGGATTTGACGGTTATCTTTAGCCAAAATGAAAAAATTGTTACATAAAAAATGCATTAGAATTTAATGCTGGGTGTCTGTTGTGTCGTAGTTCTCCTTTTATAATTGATGTGTTTCCCTCAGTTTTAGTTTGTAACCCGGATTTGTTTTTTTCTCAATCGATTTATGAATTTCGAACTGCGGTATACTACTGTTGCCTTTATTTAGATTTTTTTTGTTTATATTTCATATGATTTAATCAATTACTCGTATTTTGACTTTATTGACTTGTTCTTACTCTTATTCATACGATTGTTCAATAGCATCAATTTTCACATTAACATATTGAGACAGCAAGTATACAGTTATTGTAGATACAGGAGTATGCATACATTTGAATACATTTAATAACTAAAAAATAATTTGAAATATTTAAGATATTTTTATTTACTTAAACACCAAAAATAGAGAACAAATTAAAAAAAATGTTAAATAACCCAAAATCTTGTGAATAACAAATAGCTCATCGATTAACAGTTAGCATAGACAATTCTTGAAGTAATGTTGCTTAATCAATGTTTACATATTTTGTTTCGTAAGAAAAATCGACAATGACTATGTTAAATCCTTATACTATAACTTCACGTCTAAGTTAGATTCTCAGTATTTCGTTTGTTATTGACAAATATTTGTTTAAATATGAACCAAACTTATTTCTAAAATCGTTTATTTTTGACACCTTGATGAGTCAAACTTTTCGCTTTTAAAGTAAAAGTAACTGTTCAGCGATTGTATGAACGAAAGTAATTATCAAGACTATACGTATACGAATGTACAGATATGGTTATGACCATGACCAAACTGGTATGGTCCAAATATTCAACTGGCCTGATTTTTAGGTAATAACTGTGCCATGGGTACATAGCAACTTTATAATCAAACTAATTCATTAATAGGACTCTGCGACGGCTCCGGTTGTTTGACCTTTAAATTCATCGACTCAAGATATCTAAACAATTCTGCCTGTCGTACTAAGATATGTGTTGGAACACTTGTCACTAGGGACGAAAAATTTATAAATCAAAAAGTTGTTCCGTAAAAGCATACAATCTTCATGCTAATGAAAACGATAAATACACAAACCAAATACTAAACAAAGTAAATTATGAAATAGTTTGTTTTTGATTAAAAAAGTATAACAACAAATTTTATGTTTGCTATTTACAATATTCTTCACTAGTCCAGCATTGATACGAAGGATCCCTGTTTATTAATACCAGAGTCATATAAATGTTTTTTTTAATCCTGCAATCAACCCATTATAAGGCTAATACAGATATAAACAATACACTATACACAAATAACCAAAAACATCTATATGTCATCAATTTCTTTTACATTTTATATTATTTATTGAGTATGCATTGTCCAAGAATATTGATGCAACCTTATTAGTTGGAAATCAGCTTACGTGCAACACAGGAAGACCCTACCCAAAACTGATGTGTAGCACATTGGCAAGTTCCGTCTGTACAAAGCAATGGACTTAGACATTCTTTATCAGCCTTACAGTTTACATCTAGACTCTTTTCTGTGAACAAAATATTTTATTAAACGTTTTTAAGTACATTATGCGCTATTATGTCAATGAAAGTAAGATGTTTTTTTGCCAAATAGTTTTTTGAATAGCATTTGTTAGAAACTAATTACGATATTTTCAACATTTCTAAAACAAGATGGTTGCATATAAGTCCTAGCAATTATCTTATAAATGTGTTTGCTTCATGTTTGAACACTTTGTTGCTTTTGATTTTATCAGTTCAACAAATCTGATTTTCAAAGATCGAAAACTTGTTATCCTTTTTAATTTCCAACTGTTTGCAAATGTGATAAGGTTTTAATCCACTATTTGATGGCAGCTTCAATAAATGCATTTCAAGGATTCAAATATAATAATGATTGACGGTTGACAGTTACCATTACATGAATATATGAAACAGCATGGACACAGCACAGAACTGCGAGACAATTTCAAAAAGGGGAGTATATAATAACACGAGGGATAAGAGATTGATAAAACTCTCCTAATGAATCAGTTTAGTTTTTCTCAGAATTTGGATAAAAAGTATCAAATATGTAAGGCCTTTGTAATTTCACATTTTATTGTATGGTAGGTTTTAATCATAGAATATCGAATGTTAACTCACATGTTGAATGAAAATCTGTTAATAAAATAAGAATGATAAGTATAGTTATTTGTAAACATTAAGTGTGACATCATTGTGTTTTTTTTAAGATAAGCAAGTTTATCAAAGATTTTATTCACACTGATATATAAAAATTCAACTAACGTGCAGCACAGGTATACAATTTCCAGTACTTTTTTGTACCACATTGACAAGATCCATCTGTACAATTCATTGGGCTCAGACATTCATTATCAACATTACAATTAACACCAGCCCTTTTTTCTGTAAACAAAACATTTTTCTTGTTTTCCAATATTTGTATTTCTTCTCTCATAAACATTGTACAAGGCTAAATACATTATTTTGTGTATCTATTTCGATTACACGAATTTTTGTAGCCCCTTTGTTATGTAATATGACTGGTATAGATTAAAAACTGTTTTAGGAAAGTGTTATGATACAAATTCTTTTAATCCCACCACACCTTTTGGTCGATTTTATTGTATTTTTGATAAGGTATACAAAACACCTTTGAAAATCTATATATCAAAGTTTTTTATGAACATATACCATATAAAGACGGACATAGTTTACAATAATATCTATTGTTTGCACACACTTTGATTCATTGACGTCTTTTGTTCTATGTTTTTGATTTACTGTCTCATTTACACATTTATATCGATACGTATAGATACAAAAAACTATTTTTCTTTAACTATTAATGAATGAATGAATAAAATATCTTTAAAACAAAAATTATCTATTAGGAATTTTGTTTTCCATTGTATTCATTACCCATACTGATATACAAACAATTTACTTTCATCACAATATAATCCTGTCCAATACTGATTTATTTCACATTGACATCTTCCATTTGTACACGTCATATAACTAAAGCATTGTATACTTTGTTCACAGGCCTCATTAACACTCGATCCTGTAAGTAACATTAACATACAAAATAAAAGAATATGGAATTTGTTGCCATAACCGTATCTGGTACGACGTTTTTTGTGTGTTTTTTTTTTTAAATTTATTTATTTAGACAAGACGTTATTACAACTGCTGTATACTTTTTACCATGATAACATCGTTATAAATATGAAGATCTGATATGAGTGCTAATGAGACAATTCTTCAATCAAATCACAATTTGTAAAAGGTAAACCATTATATGTCTAAGAGGGGCGAACGATACCAGAGGGACAATCAAACTAACTCAAAGTGCGGTATTCAGCACGGACCATGGCTTACGAAACAGCAAGCTATAAAGGGCCCTAAATGACGATTGTATCACCAGCCCAGTCTGCACTTCGGTGTTAACCTGAATATCAATTATATGGTCATTTTTATAAATTTCCTGTTTTCAAAAGTATAAATTTTTCAAAAGACAAAGGATATTCTCTTACAGGCATAAATTACCTTAGCCGTATTTGGCACCACTTTTTGGAATTTTGGGTCCTCAATGCTCTTCAACTTTGTACTTGTTTGGCTTTATAACTATTTTGATTTGAGCGTTACTGATGAGTCTTGTATAGACAAAACGGGCGACTGGCGTATTAAATTATAAGCCCGGTACCTTTGATAATTTTCACAATTTAAACAGAAACAAAAGGTCAAGGCTAAATGAAGAACGAGAAACACTTCCTGATTTAGGACAGGTTCAAATAAATGCAGCGGGTATAAACGTTTTAACACGCGCAAACCTTTACCATAAACTCATACAATTATATAGCATATATATAATTACAACTTAGAAAGACATTTTAAAATAGTAATTGACAGTCTTAACTCGATCATAAAGAAATATAAAAAAAACCAAGCAAACATAAACTGAACAAATACATTTGATCTATGACACACTGTTAATACAAAATTGATGAAAGAAGGGGATTAGATATGAAACAATATCAGAAAGACAACCATAACCTTAGACAATATGCTGCTAAAGAAAATAACGTACATGGTTTAATAAAAATATTTTGTAGTAAGGTATGCAATAGATATTTTAAATCTAGCAATTTTGAATAAATTGTAAACAAAACAAATCTAGCAAGTTTGAAACTTCAGATTTTCAAAAGACATTAGTCTGTCGGACAACAGTGCTTATTTTTTTCTAATTTTGTCTTACATTTTTGAATTTGCTCTTCAAATACTAGAATTGATTGCAAACTGCCCAAAAGGCTCATTTTGATAACTTGTCCTGAATATTTAGATAGAAGTAACAGCTTCAATCAAAAACCTGTATGTTTGTATCCAAATAAGAAGAAAGTGTGTATTAGATTGAAAATTAATTGTATTTGTAAAAACCTTTACACAACGTGCAATACAAACAAATAGATCACAGCTGTAAGACAAAAAAAAACTAAAGTTGCGTTATTTGATATTTTCAGAGATATATATTGCGTATTTACAACTGACGTTTACAGATCTATGAATGACAGAAAATCCTCTGCAAATTTAAATGAGACATCAAAGACTAAAAAACCGAATCACGCTAGGTGTAAACAATTATAGTACAGTATTATTGCTTTCAAGTTTTGTAGTTTATCTAAACTTGTATTCATAATAGGAAAATATAAATACAACTTACCTTTAGCGCAATCAGACCCTGTCCAATATTGAGATTGACCACATTGACAAATTTCATGTGAACAATTCATTGGACTCGGACATTCATTAGCAGCATTACACATTACTACAACACTTCTTTCTGTAATCAAAACGGAGTAAATGCTTTGCTCATATTTTCATCTAATAAAAACAAAACCATTTTGAAGTTTGCATAGCTATACTTGTAGAAAGCATCAAGTGTATATAATTTAGGTAACGAAGGCTCGAACATGATTCCTACTGTATTTCCTCCACTTTACGAAAAGTAATTTTCAATTAAACTAAAAGCAACATACATTTGTAACACATGTAATATATGTATGTGTGAAAAATCAATTACTGACGTTAAGAATTATGTCACTTTATTGGAAATCTCTAATAGTGAAAAGCATGAAATATAATACTTCGCAATGTTTTGCCAAACATTGTTATGAGAAAATAGACATAGATAAAGTGTTTGTGCGTGCTAGCGATAAAATTTAAAGCTATAATGACCCATTACAGTACAAGAAGAAGAGGCAAAGCGAAAGAGTTCCGTTTGTTTTAACATACTATCCTGCGTTTACTAACCTTTCACGTTTGGTCCTTGAACATTTACAGTTCATTGCCTAACCTAACACCTAAAATTAACCAAGATCTTTTTCAAACCTCCTGTCTTGCTATTCGGAGATTAGCAAATCTGAAAGACATATTTGTGAGAACTTGTGTTCCATCTAATAACGGCTCTTAATCTACAGGATGGTGCAATTGTGTGATAACAGACGATGCCTGACTTGCCAAAAAAATACTGAATACTCAAACATTCACTTGTCATTCCAGTTCTGGGTCTGTGTACACTATATAATTTGCAATGTAACTTGTTAAATCCAGAATGTTGTAAACCTTATTCAGTGTTGATGTGACATGCAATATGTTGGCGAGACAGAACAGTCATTCAAAAAACGCATGAAGGGTCATCGAAGTGACAACATCTGCAAGCCTGACCTCCCTGTAGGTCGTCATTTGAGATCATTTGGGCACGTTCAAGCTGATTTAAAAAACCTGAGCATCACTATGATAGACCACAACGGGGATTGGTCAAGGGCCGATAGACTTAATTGAGAAAGGTTTTGAATAAGAAATTTAAGGACAGGTTCCTCAGAGGGCATTAATGAAAACACTTAGAATGAGTCTCTACCATCACTTATTTCTATTAATTTAGATTTTAGTACAGGACAGTAACAGTTTGAGGAATTATTCTTCCTTCCAAACTTAAATACTTAATAAAATTTACCAGCGTATTGATTCGTGATAATCTTTGTAATTATCAAGATCGTAAATTCGGTTTGACTACCACATGTCAAGAATCATTTAACAACTTGGAGTTTAGAGTGACGTCAATTTTAACAGAGCTAGTACACATTTTTGTTTATGGCCAAGATTTCTTAAATTGTAATCATATGACCCATATTTTATATATATATGAAATGAATACATACTTGGACGACAAGTTGATTCTGACAAATACGAAATCGTAGCACATTGACAAGTCCCACCTTTACAAGCTAAGGGACTCAGACATGAATTTCCACCACTACATTTTTCACCTCGACTTTTCTCTGTAACCAAATCATTGTGAGTATAGATGAAAAAGGCAAAAGACAAAACAAAAGATTGCATTGCATATCAACTTAATATTTCAATAAATATTTGATAGGCAAGTTGATCTTAATAAAAATTGATTGTAACTCTTTAATCAAAATACACATATAAGGAGTGTACATGTTTATTAAATGTTCATCCTAATTCATATAGATAGAGGATATAGCAAAATCACAGCTTATGTATGAAATAGTATGATCCTGTACAATATACAATACAGGCATAAATGACCTTTATTTGTTGTCTGAAAAAACATTTTTGTAAGTATTGATACCCATAGACATCAGTGATACATTAACATTATTATTAAAGTACAAAAGATGAAAGAGCGCATTATACAACCGATGTGTTTCCATTGGATTTGTTGCAGATATTTCATAAACTGTGAAAGACATTACTTTAGAAGAAAACATTCTTGTTGTACATGCTTTTCATTTGGAATTCGATGTTGGCATAAAATAACAAAAACATTGTCAATTTTTCAAACTAACATCATAGGGGATATGATGCTGGTACATCTTGATCAATCTGTTCTGGTAGTAATGTATTCATACATTTTTACTCTTTTGGGGGGAAATTGGAATCTCCAGCGTACTAGATGAAGGTTATTTCAAAATCACGTACTACGTCAAAATCAATATCATATTGTTAGTCAAAATATATCTTATAGGGTTACTTTCAGTGAGATAATTGTTCAATACCGAGATTCTATCAATTTTCTAAAACTAACATTTAACATGACTATATGATCATAATTTTCTGCAAAAACTTCCAGCCTACATGAAATACCTTAAATATTTGTTTTAGATATATGCAATAACATTTGAATCTTAAGTTAAAAATTACTAGTTTTGGGTCGATACCTCTCTTGGTAGACTGTAAAATATGTCATACCAAAGACCAACTCAAGTGTAATTGCTGTATATCACTAAGAGTATTACCAGCCTAATAGCCACTGATTCAGCACTATGAATTAAGTACAGATAAGTTCATTAAAAATTTCGTGTTTATTATTTTGAAAGATAATTTATGAAATTAAGAAATGCATATCAAACCAGCATCACTCTGATTACCTATCCTTGTGTCACATACCATTTGATATTTTTACATTCTTGTATCTTGGAATTGAACATGGCCAGGAACACTTTAACTTTCAAAATGCGCATTTGGTGCAGTAAAATCGCGTGTTTGGCGCATATACAAAATTTCAATCTTGGTATTTATGATGAGTTTTTTTACAATAAATGGGTCAATGCATGCTGGTGGAGTTTCATTCCCCGAGGGTATCACCAGCCCAGTAGTCAGCACTTCTGTGTTTACAAGAATTAGCATTGCTATGGTCATAACTATGAATTAACTGTTTACAAAACTTTGAATGTTTGAAATTCTAAGTCTTTTCTACCTCAGAAATAGATTACTTAAGCTATATTTGGCAAAACGTTTAGGAATATTTGGTCCTCAATGCTCTTCAAAATTGTACTTTATTTGACCCTTTTAACTTGTTTTTATTCGAGCGTCACTGATGAGTCTTGTGTAGACGAAACGCGCATCTTGCGCAAATACAATTTTTTTTTTATCAAATCAAACATAAAATGAGCAACTGGTTAACAAAGACAAATTTGCTACTACCTGTAGAATATATGAAAATAAATAGTACCGTCAGGATTAAAATAAAAAATACTGAACTCCGAAAAAAAATTCAAAACACAACTAACGAATATATAACAACTGTTATATTCCTGACTTGCATTTTTTTAATGTAGGAACTAATGGATTAAACCCTCATTGTTTGACAGTCGCATAAAATGGGAAGTAGCTCCACTAAAAAATGGCAATCAGTTGCATGATAAAACTCACCATTATACAAATTAGTTCAGTACTTTCTTCAGTATTAGGTAATGTTATTAATTAACAACAGTTAATATTTGTTTCTTTTAATTCAATCTTTGCATAATGTTTGAATTTTCAAATAATCACTGAAAAGACATTAATTGTCGCATCTGGTGTAATCAAATTTATACAGTATATATATATATATTATTTCTACCACTGAGTTGATACCTCGGCTTGTAGGCTTTTAGTAAAGAGGGATTCACCAAGCCACTTGCCATTAGTTTGATACCGGCATGCAAATACGAATAATTTTGTATTGAAATTAGGTGTCATGAAATTTTGCAAATGAAACCAAGGAATATATCTCCCTAATGCAAAGTTCTTATTCATTGCCCGGCTTTGGTTATATATTTAGATCTTTTTGGTTTATCAGCTCATCAATCTTTGAATGAATTTTGATTCCAAATATATTGGCCTCGAGTATCACATTTGGTGCGCAATTATTTTACCGTTTATGGTATTAGATCTATTTATTTATAGAATAACTCATCGAAGATTAAAATAGAGAACAATATGCAACGAGTGACCGAACAACGCATAAATTCACGAATACGCGTAGCTCATGAGTTAGTTATCAGTGGTGTTCGGTCAAGAGTTGAATATTTTTCGATATTTGAATTCTTTGATACATTGGCTTTTTTATGAAATTAAAAGTAAAAAAAAGTAAGAAATTATATCTTTTTCAATGCATTCTCAATTTGTTTTGATCCGACGTTATCGACGTCTTGACAACGCCTATTGTTGTATGACGTCAGTGGAGTGAAATTATCGGTTTTATTTCACTGGGAAATCAATGTAATTCCATGCAACCAATGTTACAGTAAATAAAACATATATATTTAAACTTACTTGTCGTACAGGTAAAGCCGTTATCATAGAAATTATGCATACAACGACATTTGTTTGCATTACAATTTGCATTACCATATGTCGTACAATTGTCAACATTAATGGCATTACATGAGTTATCTTCTACTGCTGCTTCACATGGTATATACAGTAAACAGACTAGTAAAATCTGAAACAAAACACAATCAAACAGAAATATCAAAAATACAATACGTTGATAAACAATCCCGTAGAAACCAATCAATTGTTAAACATGAAAATCAGTCACAATATTTTTCACAATATTTTAGTCACTCAAACATTACTGTACTCACCGTATGAAAACAAAAATCATTCGACATTTTGCGCATTGGTGTATTGAAGAATTAGGAAGTACTACTACTGAAAATAATGTATAAATAGATCATATTGTAAATCATCATCGAGACTCGTGTAATCATATACATGTATGAATACATATGAAGTGACTTGTAAAAGTTTATCATTCAGAAATTCTTTTCACAATTCTTTAAACGATTTTAGATTAAATCGAGTATGTTAAGTGACTTCAAATTACAATAACTACCAACTTAATATTCATGTGTTCACATCGACAGTTAGTTTATATGATTTTCTAAATTCAATTTCTATGCTAATTTGGCAATATAAATTCTGAACTACAAAGATAAGATTTCTGTGTAAGACGATGAATAGAACTGGCAGACATTAAAATGATGGACGTTGAAGGCATTGCAATTAATGAAATATAGTTTGAATCATATTACTTTGTATGATACACCTGCCCTACTGTCTAGTCGCCGAAGCCACCATTCATGTGAAAATGTAAAGAATCAACTAACTTCCTTAAGCATAATATCTAAATTTAAAATATCAACACAAATTATTACCAAACCAACACCAAAATATTGAAAAGAAAGGGTATATTTAACAGTCAAAGTCAAAGGTTGACTGATATAGGCTCGTTTGCTTATGGACTTTCGTTTAGAATTTTCGTCGGAGTTCGGTTATTTTGTTATCTAACTTTTGACATAAACAGGGTATAAATAAATTTCATTAAAAAAAGACTCAATTGAAATAATTGATCAACCGTTCAATCCATAAGCTTTCTTCTCAAGGAGCTTCATTACAACTGAATCGTGTATCGATGTGCTGCATATTATGTAAAATAAAATTCCTGACAAATGTAAAAAGTAAAATCACAAAAATACTGAACTCCGAGGAAAATTCAAAACGGAAAGTCCCTAATCAAATGGCAAAATCATATGATAACACACATCAAACGAATGGACAACAACTGCAATATTCCTGTCTTGGTACAGGCATATTCAAATGTAGAAAATGGTGGATTGAATCTGGTTTTATAGCGCTAAACCTCTCACTTGTATGACAGTCGCATCAAATTCCATTATATTGACAACGATGCGTGAACAAAACAGACATAATTATTAAAATTGTCAAAATAGGGATACAGCAGTCATCACATTGTCACAATCTCAATCAGAACAAAAACAAACAAATATTAAACAAAGAAACACACAAAAATCATATATCAAATTGAACAACCACGTTCATTGCTTAAATATAGGAAGATGTGGTATGAGTGCCAATGAGACAACTCTCCATCCAAGTCAAAACTTATAAAAGTAAACCATTATAGGTCAAAGTACGGTCTTCAACATGGAGCCTTGTCTCACACCGAACAGCAAGCTATAAAGGGCCCCAAAAATTACTAGTGTAAAACCATTCAAACGGGAAAACCAACGGTCTAATCTATATAAAAACGAGAAACAAGAAACACGTATGAACCACATCAACAAACGACAACTACTGAACAACAGATTCCTGACTTAGGACAGGTGCAAACAATTGCAGCGGGTTTAAACGTTTTAATGGTACCAAACCTTCATTCTCATCTGAAACAATAGTGTAACATCACAACATAGAAAGACACACATAATTAAGATTCTTATTTTTGTATTTTAATTATGTATGTTAAATCAACCAATAAAGGATTGAAGTTTTCTAAGTCCTGTAAGCAGAAAATTAATGTCTGCTTAAACAAGTCTGATATGATCTTTGTCTTTATTGCTCTATTTTCATCGGGTTTATTTATCCCTCAAAACGCACAAATAAAATGCCATGTTCTCTCTAATAATTTTTGACTTCACTGATTTTAATATTTTGAGTATAATAAGAAAGTTGTTCAAGCTGTTTGTTTTTGTATATCTTTATTTCTTCGATATTGAGTGAATTAGAAATTAACGATATACTACACTTATTTGCACCATCGTCCGACAGATACTTGATCAGGTCATTTCCGCATGGATATTTAGAAAACGAATAATAAGTCTCACGGCGTCAAATAAAAGAACAAACCTCGATATTCATCTGAGATAAAAAAATCGGATATGCAGTGACAATCCTAATCAATATATCTTATTGACGATTAGCCAAATCTGGACAGATTGTTGGAATGTGCTTCTTACAAATTATGGCCCTTGGTGCCTTCAATCTTTATCTTGTCATTGGTTGAATCGTTGGTCTGGTCCTCTGATCTTGTATCAGTAAAATTACCCGTTACACAGTCAAACGTCTTTTTGTTTCCTATTTAGAGTTACGCCAGTGTAGTATTTTTTGCGTATTACGAACAGTTTTTGACATTTCTTTGCATACCAACCAACGGTCAGTGGTGCTTCTTCATCCTTTAGCTGAAGAGGATTACGAATTTAACGTTGCTACATCTCTTTATTTTCGTACATATATCCATCGATGTTTTAGACGCTATTCGTCTTGTCCATTTTGTCCTCTTTTTTTAGTTAGTTAAAATCTTCATCAAATATGTTCAACTTCAATTTCGTGTCATTTTGGATCATACTAAGTTTCGTTTTAAACCTGTTGCAGTCATCCATGACGTCGTTGCGTAGTTAAAACACTGATCGTTGTGGTGAAAAATGTACATCATTCTAACTACATTTAGGCATCCATGTGTATTCATGTGTATTTATACTGGTAAATTTCCGAAGTTATACCTTTATGAGATTAAACAAAGTGATCATATCTTGGAATGAGTACGTAAACAAAACAAAAATTATATGAAAACGATGTATTTCCCCAACAGGAGCGTGGTTTGTAAAGCAGTTGTATTTAGAAAGTGTAACTTATACTAATATGTGTTCAAATAGAGAAATCTTTGACAACGCTTTTTCCCACAGCAATACTTATATATCAGAATCAAAACCTTAAAGAAAACATTGCATATTCTCTAACTTCTTTTACAATACATTTTATAACCTCCACCGGTTCAAATATTAAAGAACGTGAAATTAATGTCTGCTTTACCTATGTGCATGTTTTCTGAAATGCGTAGAATCTGTATGAAACTATTTTGATAACAAATTGAAAGCATTTCAGAATACTATCAAATAAATAGTTCAGTACTTTCTTCAGTATTAGGTAATGTTATTAATTAACAACAGTTAATATTTGTTTCTTTTAATTCAATCTTTGCATAATGTTTGAATTTTCAAATAATCACTGAAAAGACATTAATTGTCGCATCTGGTGTAATCAAATTTATACAGTATATATATATATATTATTTCTACCACTGAGTTGATACCTCGGCTTGTAGGCTTTTAGTAAAGAGGGATTCACCAAGCCACTTGCCATTAGTTTGATACCGGCATGCAAATACGAATAATTTTGTATTGAAATTAGGTGTCATGAAATTTTGCAAATGAAACCAAGGAATATATCTCCCTAATGCAAAGTTCTTATTCATTGCCCGGCTTTGGTTATATATTTAGATCTTTTTGGTTTATCAGCTCATCAATCTTTGAATGAATTTTGATTCCAAATATATTGGCCTCGAGTATCACATTTGGTGCGCAATTATTTTACCGTTTATGGTATTAGATCTATTTATTTATAGAATAACTCATCGAAGATTAAAATAGAGAACAATATGCAACGAGTGACCGAACAACGCATAAATTCACGAATACGCGTAGCTCATGAGTTAGTTATCAGTGGTGTTCGGTCAAGAGTTGAATATTTTTCGATATTTGAATTCTTTGATACATTGGCTTTTTTATGAAATTAAAAGTAAAAAAAAGTAAGAAATTATATCTTTTTCAATGCATTCTCAATTTGTTTTGATCCGACGTTATCGACGTCTTGACAACGCCTATTGTTGTATGACGTCAGTGGAGTGAAATTATCGGTTTTATTTCACTGGGAAATCAATGTAATTCCATGCAACCAATGTTACAGTAAATAAAACATATATATTTAAACTTACTTGTCGTACAGGTAAAGCCGTTATCATAGAAATTATGCATACAACGACATTTGTTTGCATTACAATTTGCATTACCATATGTCGTACAATTGTCAACATTAATGGCATTACATGAGTTATCTTCTACTGCTGCTTCACATGGTATATACAGTAAACAGACTAGTAAAATCTGAAACAAAACACAATCAAACAGAAATATCAAAAATACAATACGTTGATAAACAATCCCGTAGAAACCAATCAATTGTTAAACATGAAAATCAGTCACAATATTTTTCACAATATTTTAGTCACTCAAACATTACTGTACTCACCGTATGAAAACAAAAATCATTCGACATTTTGCGCATTGGTGTATTGAAGAATTAGGAAGTACTACTACTGAAAATAATGTATAAATAGATCATATTGTAAATCATCATCGAGACTCGTGTAATCATATACATGTATGAATACATATGAAGTGACTTGTAAAAGTTTATCATTCAGAAATTCTTTTCACAATTCTTTAAACGATTTTAGATTAAATCGAGTATGTTAAGTGACTTCAAATTACAATAACTACCAACTTAATATTCATGTGTTCACATCGACAGTTAGTTTATATGATTTTCTAAATTCAATTTCTATGCTAATTTGGCAATATAAATTCTGAACTACAAAGATAAGATTTCTGTGTAAGACGATGAATAGAACTGGCAGACATTAAAATGATGGACGTTGAAGGCATTGCAATTAATGAAATATAGTTTGAATCATATTACTTTGTATGATACACCTGCCCTACTGTCTAGTCGCCGAAGCCACCATTCATGTGAAAATGTAAAGAATCAACTAACTTCCTTAAGCATAATATCTAAATTTAAAATATCAACACAAATTATTACCAAACCAACACCAAAATATTGAAAAGAAAGGGTATATTTAACAGTCAAAGTCAAAGGTTGACTGATATAGGCTCGTTTGCTTATGGACTTTCGTTTAGAATTTTCGTCGGAGTTCGGTTATTTTGTTATCTAACTTTTGACATAAACAGGGTATAAATAAATTTCATTAAAAAAAGACTCAATTGAAATAATTGATCAACCGTTCAATCCATAAGCTTTC